AATAGCAAATTTTGAAACCTTATTGTTTACTGATAATCTATGATAACTGTTGAAAACATGTGGATATATATGTATATATATTTGTATTTACAGGTATCGTGGTGATTGTCTAAATCAGGCAATCTGTAAATGCTCATGTGAGGTTGATCCAACAAAATCTGCCAAAAATGCTTGCTCCAAATCTGAACGTTGTGACTGTTTACGGATCAAAGAAGCCTGCAGTAAGCTGTGTGCCTGTAAACAAATATGCAAAAATAAAGAAACGCTCAAAAAGTTGACAAAAGTAAGTCTGATTTGGCCGCAAATCTGATTACTTGTATTTTTGACAACACTAAATAACTGCTTACTTCAAGGGGGGGTAACACTTATTTGAATTGTTAAGTAGCACAAAGCATAAATTCCATAAAGTTTTTGTTCAGCGGTGAAAGCAAGAGAAGAAGAAAGAAAAAGTAACGGAAACTGCAGAGACAGAAAATAATTTAGTTTTAATGCTGCATCAGTTTTGTTTATTTGTTCAGTTCTTTCTGCTATGTGTTTTGCATATTTTTGGCAGTATATAAAATTTAGTGGCAGTTACTATGAATCAGAACAAAGATTGTTTTGTTAGAAGAACAAAAATTATGTTTTACAGAAACAAGTATTAATTATTGCTGTTGAGGGACAAATATGAAAGTGAAAAATGAATGAGGGGTTTGAAAGACAGAAGGGTTGTATAAGTGGATGAAAGATGAGAGGAATGGAAATAGAAAAGAAGGAAAAAAGACAGGATTTTTTTTTTGTTTCTTTTTTATGCTAAATTTTATCTTAAAAATTGCATACTTTGTTGTTGTTCAGTTTATTTGTTGCTATCGTTTTCGTTATTGTTGTTGTTGTTGTTTTTGCTGTCGTTTTTGAAGCCGACCACCGTCAAATTCCTTCTCGATTTCTTTCAGTTATTCCCTCGTCGTTTCTCCTCCACATCATTTCCTGTCCGTTGCCAGTTTTTGTTGTCCATTCAACATCTCCTCCCCGTTGCACCCAAACACACAGATTCATACACCATAAACATCCATAAATTCACAGAGACATATCGATTTTTTAAATATATATAAATATGAATACAAATAAGTATATATATATATATATATATATATATATATATATATACTTATTTGTATTTATATATATAACATATATTACAGTGTATATATGTACGTTGAGAAAAGCATTAAATTTATTCAAAGCACAACAAAAATGGTCGGTGAAAAAGAGAGAAACAAAAAAGTTTTTTCCTTATATAAAAACAGATAAAATTTAACGCTGTTTGTAAGTTCAATAAATGTTGTGTTGAAAGATGGGAGAAGAAAATCTGACGGTAAAAGTAAGGGACAGACAAAGTGGTATAAAAGATGGACGAGAAAGACTGCTTTTGAGAAAAGCAGTTTTTTTTGCTGTTTACCTTAACTTAATCACGAATTTATTATAATTTTTTTTCCATAAAATTTTACACTCTTTCTATCAGACTCTCAACTTTATTTTTCTTTTCTTCTTTTTTTTTTTTTTTTTTGA